CGTGTTTCTCGCGGACTTTTACATAAGAATCAACAGTCTAATTGCAAATTCCTCACACATGCAACATCTCCATTAATAATTCGAATGGCTGAAAATAGACGAATTGCACCACTGACCACAGTAAAGTGTCTGAAAAGGACGAAATAATAAGGATCTTTTCCACATACACACAACACGCATATTTCATCAAAACTTGACTCAATTTAATCATATAAAATTACTAGAGGGTAGCCCCCTGGCCGCTACGCGGCCCAACCCCCTGAAGGCGCTCCGCGCCATCAATGGGCCGCTACGCGGCCCTATTCTTACCCTCCTATCAGTGTTAGTTTTATTTTTCCCCTAAAAAATTACGATATGATGTATACTTTAATTTTCAACTTTACTTAAAATTACTTTAAAATTAAAAGGACGCGTTTTGGAATGACTGCTTGATGAAATATTGCAGTAAAACAATGAACATTGATAGTCAGGTAATAATCAAATTTTTCATAAGTCGGGAATCGAACCCATACCGAGTTCAGAGTGGACGCATTCGACGTCTCAGACGACTCAGCCACCGCTCGACGTGGGGACGTCAGCGCGAATCTTGTGTAAATAAGTGTAGACAAGGCGGATAAAGAATGGTGGTCGCATTTCGATTTTGGCTGTCATCTTGAAGCACTGTGACGGCAGGAGGGTACGGCTTTTGCCATGCAATTCGAGGTTGAGCCGACTCCCCCGGCCTCGGCCGGCCCATGTACCCGATGTACCCGATACCGTGTGACGTCCAGAGGGCACGAAATGCGACCACCATTCTTTATCCGCCTTGAAGTGTAGAGCCGATGCGCAGGCTACACAGCTACTGCGCAACCTCCTCGACCACTGCGCATCCTCCCGCGCATAGCGGTAGCAGTACCGGAGCTTTCTGTAAACTCACTCACTTTTATAACGTGATTTTAAAAAAACCTGAGTCCTTTTTCCAAAATCTGATTACAGCGGGCTCATCTAGGGCCTATTAACTGGCTCCATTTGATCCTAACAGATAGTGCTCAGCCCTATATCGTTTTTTCCGTGTGGCCAATTCACCTAGATCTTAAATGCATTTCACGACGTGTATTAAACAATATAGGAAAAAGTTAGACCTTTAAACGAATTTCACCTCTTTAAGCGATAATCATAATCTATTCCATCGACGAAGTATCAGAGAAACATCTTCTTACTTGTTTTCTAGGTCCACCAATGAGGGACATGAGTCAAGGGCTATCTATACTATAAGCTCCAAGACCTCCTAATTTTGCGAAACTGGTGACGCTTAGTTCCAGCGTTCTACCGGGCCGATTTTCATGATTTTTGCGGCTATCGACGGGCAATTGTCTCTCGATAAGTTAACTCTTTTCAGATTTTCAAAATATGGCCTAGGTTTTTTTATATTACGTGGTAAAGTTGCGAATTCTCCCATTTAAACAATGTAAATTTATACTTTTTGTCATGGTTCGTTTGAGCGTTCTACTAAGCCGATTTCCATGATTTTTGCGTAGATCGACAGTTAATAGGCCCTAGATGAGCCCGCTGTAATCAGATTTTGGAAAAAGGACTCAGGTTTTTTTAAAATCACGTTATAAAAGTGAGTGAGTTTACAGAAAGCTCCGGTACTGCTACCGCTATGCGCGGGAGGATGCGCAGTGGTCGAGGAGGTTGCGCAGTAGCTGTGTAGCCTGCGCATCGGCTCTACACGTCTACACTTATTTACACAAGATTCGCGCTGATGTCCCCACGTCGAGCGGTGGCTGAGTCGTCTGAGACGTCGAATGAGTCCACTCTGAACTCGGTATGGGTTCGATTCCCGACTTATGAAAAATTTAATTATTACCTGACTATCAATGTTCATTGTTTTACTGCAATATTTCATCAAGCAGTCATTCCAAAACGCGTCCTTTTAATTTTAAAGTAATTTTAAGTAAAGTTGAAAATTAAAGTATACATCATATCGTAATTTTTTAGGGGAAAAATAAAACTAACACTGATAGGAGGGTAAGATTGACATTTAATTTTCAAATGGGTCAGGTGTGCTGGCCACAGAATTGTGTTGATGCTTGATTTTAGAAACTGCACTTGGTAATTTCATCTTGAATGCCACCTATTCACTATCGTAATATGTATCAAAGCTAAAATGCATCTCGTTTACTGGGTTCTTCAATATCACTACGCTGGAAAAAAAAACTCTGGCGGTGGAAGCCATACTTCTGGGCTATATAAACATACCATTCGCGTTTCGGACTCAGAACCCGGAAAGGACGGTGTGATTATATTGCTCGGAATTTTTTTCAGTGTAAAAAACTATTGGGGCTTATGCAAAATTTAGGTTATACGTCGCGTTATACGATCGGATTTATCTCGAGCAATGCTATAGCAATATCTATAGCAATTGTTAAATTTCCTGTGAAGCTGTAATAACTACAACCGANATCAATGGGCCGCTACGCGGCCCTATTCTTACCCTCCTATCAGTGTTAGTTTTATTTTTCCCCTAAAAAATTACGATATGATGTATACTTTAATTTTCAACTTTACTTAAAATTACTTTAAAATTAAAAGGACGCGTTTTGGAATGACTGCTTGATGAAATATTGCAGTAAAACAATGAACATTGATAGTCAGGTAATAATCAAATTTTTCATAAGTCGGGAATCGAACCCATACCGAGTTCAGAGTGGACGCATTCGACGTCTCAGACGACTCAGCCACCGCTCGACGTGGGGACGTCAGCGCGAATCTTGTGTAAATAAGTGTAGACAAGGCGGATAAAGAATGGTGGTCGCATTTCGATTTTGGCTGTCATCTTGAAGCACTGTGACGGCAGGAGGGTACGGCTTTTGCCATGCAATTCGAGGTTGAGCCGACTCCCCCGGCCTCGGCCGGCCCATGTACCCGATGTACCCGATACCGTGTGACGTCCAGAGGGCACGAAATGCGACCACCATTCTTTATCCGCCTTGAAGTGTAGAGCCGATGCGCAGGCTACACAGCTACTGCGCAACCTCCTCGACCACTGCGCATCCTCCCGCGCATAGCGGTAGCAGTACCGGAGCTTTCTGTAAACTCACTCACTTTTATAACGTGATTTTAAAAAAACCTGAGTCCTTTTTCCAAAATCTGATTACAGCGGGCTCATCTAGGGCCTATTACCTGTCGCTTTACGCAAAAATCATGGAAATCGGCCCGGTAGAACGCTCAAACGAACTATGACAAAAAGTATAAATTTACATTGTTTAAATGGGAGAATTCGCAACTTTACCACGTAATATAAAAAAACCTAGGCCATATTTTGAAAATCTGAAAAGAGTTAACTTATCTAGAGACAATTGCCCGTCGATAGCCGCAAAAATCATGAAAATCGGCCCGGTAGAACGCTGGAACTAAGCGTTACCAGTTTCGCAAAATTAGGGGGTCTTGGAGCTTACAGTATGTATGTCTTAGTTGACGTCACTATTATGGCGAGGACTCCTGAACCATTTCATGTCGTCGTTTCTGCTCAAAATTCTTGACGTGGTTAGTTAAATTGCAGTTCACCATATTGACATTTAATTTTCAAATGGGTCAGGTGTGCTGGCCACAGAACTGTGTTGATGCTTGATTTTAGAAACTGCACTTGGTAATTTCATCTTGAATGCCACCCATTCACTGTCGTAATATGTATCAAAGCTAAAATGCATCTCGTTTACTGGGTTCTTCAATATCACTACGCTGGAAAAAAAAACTCTGGCGGTGGAAGCCATACTTCCGGGCTATATAAACATACCATTCGCGTTTCGGACTCAGAACCCGGAAAGGACGGTGTGATTATATTGCTCGGAATTTTTTTCAGTGTAAAAAACTATTGGGGCTTATGCAAAATTTAGGTTATACGTCGCGTTATACGATCGGATTAATCTCGGTGACTTGGCCAAAATTATGGTTGCCTTGGACGAAGATAGGGTGAGTGATGAATTTGGTGGAGTCTAAGTTGACTCAGTTTGAGTGAACCACAAAAACTTGTTATTTTGTTAGGTATTTTTCTCTGTGAGGTACTTTTTGTTTTCTGTTGGTCTGGCGGGCAGTCTCCCTTCAGTGGATTCAACTTGCTCTTTTGTAGTCTCTTCTTTGTATCTTATGTATAATAACTAATAGAAAAAATATTGGATTTTAGGGTTTAGCGAAGTTGCTGGATTTTGGATTATTGACAAGGTACGCCTTATTAGCACGTAAAATGGTTTATTTTATTTACCGAATGCATTTCAACACACGGTGTCATCATCAGAGGTATTCAATTACTTAGACATTTGAAATCATAAAATTATTATCAGCAATTGTTAAATTTCCTGTGAAGCTGTAATAACTACAACCGAATGTAACGAGTGCTATGTATAGGTAATAATCACCTCAAGATTTCGAATTGTCAAGTAATTGAATACCTATAATGATGACACCATGTGTTGAAAATGCATAAGGTAAATAAAATAAACAGTTTTATGGGCTAATCAGGAGTACCTTATTAATAATCCGAAATTCAACACCATGGCTAAACCAATATATCTATTATGAATAATGGTGTTCCTGAAAAATCTACTGAATTTAAAATAAATAATTCACAATATGCATTATGAATGCATGAACATGTCAATTTACTACATTTTATTCGCAGCAGCTTTCATACCGAATGATATTTCTCAGAGTTAGCAAGTCATTAAAATTAAGTGCGATATTAATTTTTTTTTTCCTAGTATAAAAGATGCGTTGTCTGGATCTGGTCTTGCTTCGATCACGAGATCGACGAATCGTGAACTGCGGCGAGCCGTGTTTTTAATGGCTCATCAACGCCTCGTTGCTCAATTCCTTGCTTCATTTGCTCCGAAAAATCGTCACCTGAACGGTAACGTAACGAGAGAGGAAACGAGAGATTAAAAAAGGGGGCAGGGAGGCGGGGGCGGGGAGGGAAGACGCAGAAAAGTCGAGGTGCATGAGCCCGGGAAGAAAAGGGGAAATAATAGGTGGCCGAGAGCTAATGACAAACGGGGAAGAGGGGATCCTGTGGGCGGAGTATGGCCAGATCTGTTATTGTTAATGAAAGCCTCTGGAGCCGGAGTCAGTTTCCAACCAGCTCCCTGCCCATTGTGTGCGCGACGCCCGTGTTTTTCGAGCTTTCCCCTGTTTTTCCGCCTTCGCGCCCGTTTCCCGCGCGGCGACTTTCCACTTTCTCTCCGTGACTTTCCGCACTTGTTGAGCTCGGTTTGAGTTTCGTGATCTCATACGTGTACACATCGGTGAAGAAAATAGTTTACATCGAAATTAAAAATTCTAGTCACGAGGTTTGAATGATCGTTCCTACCTTATAAAATTCTTGTAAAAAATTTCGCTTGCCAGCTCAGTTTTTCCTGCTCACAACTTTAGCATCTTTGTGCGAGTGATTATACCTCGAAAAGACGGACGTGTTAACAAGTGCAGGTAAAGCGAATTTGTCTTCCATGCGGTTCAGTTCTGAGGATTTACCGCTGAATACAACTGTCTGAAACAGATTACGAGGAAAATCACAGGACATGCAAAGTACAACATCATCAGCGATGAATATAGCTTCAGAATTTGATTAATTTTTTGCCTAGTTTAAGTTCGGCACTGTGTCACACGATTGTCTCGGATAAATTGTTTTCCCTAGTCTGACATTCGTTAAGAGCAACTGTGAACTTTTATCATCCGGTTTTAAATTTCTTTCCGGTCGTCCAAAAAATTACGTTATTGTGATAAACCTGCATTTCATGAAAATACTGTGATAAATCACTCGATTCGACTACTCCAATCGCTTCTTTAGAAGAAATGGACAAGTATAAGTCGCGTCATTCCAAGAACCAGCAATAATTAGTGCGTGTCGTGTAATTTTCACTAAAATTACTAAAAATGTGGTCTTTCCTCTAGGTAATAATTATATGGTGAGTTCGAATTCTGAACCGGATACAGCGACAAGTTTCTTGTACGGATTTATCTCTTGAGCGTATTGCTACAAATTATTTTCATTTCTGCGGTAAAAATAGAATAATATACTCTCCAAGGTCCACTCACTGAAAAATCGTATAGATACTGAGTGCTTAAGGGCAGTGAATTGTCGATTGCACATTCTTTAAGGTGAAAAAACTTGCATCTTAGGAGAGGTCTGAAAGACCAACAGGCTTCATGGTGACGAAATACCTGTTGAAAATTAAGATACTTCTCGGTTGAAAAACTTCGCAGGCAACGAATGAACATCTTCTTCACGAACAGAATGCGGACTTGAAAGTAATTCGAATTTTTTTTTCTGTTCTGCGAGATCTGTTCGACACAGCAAAAGCGACGAGGTGTGAATCGTAGTGATAAAACGGTGTTAACGATCTCAAAGCGAGGATTGTAGTGCCTTCACGCGGGACAGCAGTATCGACGCAGTGTACACACGCGTGCCAAGTACATAGTGTAAAATATCCTAACAAGGGGCATCAAGAGAAACACTCCGGCAGGAGTCTCGTGTCCGTAACGTAACGTGCGGTGCGTTACGGAGAGTAACCATGCAGTAACGCCGGCGGCATGGCGCGAATTCGGACAGCGGCAGTGCTTTGAAAAGTGATTCGAGGGCTTCGGATGTGCTTGTGATTTTGGCGGGGTGCGTTAGATGCATCTCCCCCTGGGGGTCATGACGACGGATTCGACGGGCTCGAAGAAGCGTCGGCGCGGGGGGGCGTCCGAGGGAGGCGGCGGCGGCGGCGGCGGGGGTGGGGAGGCGGCGACGGCGACGGATGACCTCTGGTGGACCGAGCGGATCATCTGCGACGTCCAAGCGGAGCACGCCGGCGAGCTCATCCGAACGGGGAGTCCGTACTTCCTCTGCTCGGCGCTGCCCACCCACTGGCGCTCCAACAAGACCCTGCCGATGGCCTTCAAGGTGGTCGCCCTCGGCGACGTCGTCGACGGCACCGTCGTCACCATCCGGGCCGGCAACGACGAGAACTTCTGCGCCGAGCTCCGAAACTGCACCGCCGTCATGAAGAACCAAGTGGCCAAGTTCAACGACCTCCGATTCGTCGGCAGGAGCGGTAGAGGTGAGTCTATCATCATTTGATCATTTTCAAATTGTCTATATCTCCATTTTCGTTTGTAGTAAGTCCGTGGAACAATCCGTCGGACCAAAGCCAAAAAGGAACCATCCATTTGAAAAAATGGTGGTGATGCTGCTCCAGCTAGCACAATTTCGTGTTTCATGAGTATGTGCCAACTATTACAACAGCAACAACTGTGGTCGGCGTATGCACCAACTTAGTTGGTGTGACCCCATTTGATGGGTGTGAAGCACCAACTGGATTGGATTTGTTGGGTTGAAGCAACCACACCATTGATGCAGAGGGCCATTTTTTTCTTCCTCGGTGGTCCGTTAGTTTCTCAGCAGTATAAAAGAAACTGTTACCTTCAAGCATTCAACGTTTCTTGATGGACAGTAAAGCATATTTCACGTCCCTGTTGGTTGGTGACCGGGCTATATAATGAGCGGTATGCTCGACGCGTATATACCGAAAATCGCCCTATTCGACGAATGAACTGCTCAGCATATAGCACGTTGCCACGCGAAGTAGAGCGCATAAGAGGTCAATTAACGAGGGACGAATGAAAGCACAATTTACCACGATAGCTCTTCAAAATTTTACCATGAAGACGGCGGAAAGTCTGAAAAGCCAACTTCTAAACAAGATATGAGTGTTTAAAATTAAAATCCGTTGAATGGCAAAAACACAAATGACGTCATTAGTATCATCTAATTTTGATTTGATCTGTGTTACAAATACTTGTCAATATCTCGTTTAGGAGTTTACTTCCGAACTTCCCTTTAAATGAATCGCTTTTTTCATAAGATTTTGAAGAGAAAATATTGAGCGTTTCCTCCTAGTCCATGATTTGTCCAGTTGCCATGCTGGGCAAAATTTGGTCCTCTTTCGGGCGATTTATGCTTGAACAAGAGGATGTTAACTGCTGATTGATCGCTTTACGAAACATCGTCACAGCTGAATTAATCATCAGAAGCTAACTAATATTGCACTACTTAGTCGTCTCAGCTGTCGCACACCCCCTGGATGTGAGTGGTCACTAACTGCAAACGCGTCGTAATTACCTACTCTCTTAGGATAGGCAGAAAAGGATGCGTGTCATAGCGTCATCAATTATCGGCTGGAAATTATTCCACCATTCGAGGCTGAATTTTTTAAGTGCTTCTTGTTACTCCATAAGGCTTTGTCTCCACGGGACGTTTCAAGGGATTGATACCAAGTTCGAATGGCCGGAATGAGACTGCTCGGCTTTTCTACCGTTAAATATTGACAACAAATTTTGACTTCTTCTCTCCGAGTCGTTCTTAGGACTCAACAAGGATTCTACTTCGAATTTAGGTTAGTAGTGACTAACTCAATAAATATTTTTCGCAACTTCGCATGTGAGATTTTGTCCTGCGACAAATCCCACGAAACGTCCCATGCATAAAGACAAAACGTGATGGCTATGATGTAAGGCTGAAACCATAGCTGTTGACTTTTTCGAATTGTTAATTTGAGAGAAGAGCTTTTTCAATGAGGGGGAAAAAAATTCTGTTAAGCGAGCGAGAGAACCTGATTTACGAGCGGAAAGTAAGGCGAGCATGAACACTCGTTCACTTGTTGAGTGCAGAGAACCGGGGGGGGGGGGGGGCGAGAATTTTACTCGTTGCGTTTGCATCGCAATTCACTGTCGCACGCATCAGCCCCGCATCTGATACACTGAAAAAACGCAAAAAGCCGGTCACAGTCAGACCCCAACTTTTGTTTGATAATTTACGAGCGAGACCGCATCGTAGAGCGTAGTTGTCGGGTCCATTTCGCTTCAGCTTAAACCGTTTTCCAATCGTTTAGTACTGCAAAAAAATTCCGCGAAAAATCTTAGGTCTTCATAAAAAGTGCGCAAAATAGTTCTTCTGGAGTGGACCGATTTTAAAGTATGGCCCTACTTTGAAATCAGTCCTTTGGCGATTGTGAATTTTTAATTGCGAGTCCTCAGGGGCTCAATTTTCAAATTGTAGCAAGCTCTACTTCATACATGTTCACTGACGTTATCTCTCACTTTCAAACCAGATCGCCTTCAATATCTCGATAGGCAATGTGAGCGGCTTACGAGCAGTAATAGTTGCTCGCCGAATTTGTGGCGGAAATGGTGCCGGTGCGAATATGATACTACGTGAATCTGATTAAAAAAAATTGTTTCAAGCACTCGTGGTGACAAATAACTAGAATAGCGTCCGAACATGCGAAAATCCCTAATATTCAAGACTTGTTGATATTTTCCTGTGAATACTTTCTAAATGGCAAAAAAAATTCCTCTTCTTTTACGATCAATTCATATGTACGCCTTTCGAGTTCACTGTTGTTTATTTTAAAACGAGTGTTTCGCTGGGTATCCTTCGAGGGAAGATTTAATTGTGTGTTTCAAGAGTCACAAAGACTGTGCACGTAGGGCTGCTAGCCATGAAAAACAATAAGCAGCATACAAACGATCTACTATTCTGAGATTTTCGGGATCTTCACAAACATTGGTGATAGTAGAGCTTGCTCTCAAAGAAAAAAAAAGAAAAAACTTTGGTTCACGAGCAGTCCTGAAATTTTCAGTCAAGATAAACGACTATCTCTGTCATAGAAACGGAGCTTCGGTTAACGTTACAATTCCTCCCTCCTGTTTTTTTTTTGAAGGTTTATTGTTTAAGTATAACGTAACTACTACAAGTATTTCCTCGTATCTATCTACAAGATTAAAAACCAGATTAACTGCATTGAATTTACAGAGTAACGTTAGATATAACAGTGAGCATCACCAAATGTATTGTTAGGCATACTAAACACGCATTCCTTAGAAAAGACTTCGGGCACAAGGGAAAAAAAGACGCTTGGAACTAGAGTCCAAACTCTTGAAAACAATGATAAGAAAAAATACTCTTGATTCAATCGGATTTTCGCTTGGATCGAGAACCAAGCCTCTTAATTCAAGCGGATTTTCTTTTGATTCGAGAAAAAATCCGATTGAATCCAGAGTATTTTTATTTGTCATTGTTTTCAAGAGTCTGGACTCTTGATCCAAGCGACTTTTTTTTCAGTGCATCCAAACAAAATTTCTACTTCTAGGAGTAAAAACTCTCGTCGTTACCTGGAACGAAACCCCTTTTGTCCAGTCTGAACCGAATTTTTCACACTAGAAAAAGAAAAAAACACATTGGATCTAGAGTCCAGACTTTTGAAAACATTGACAAGAAAAAAGACTCTTGATTCAATCAGATTTAAGCTTGAATCAAAAGGAAATCCGCTCAAATTAAAAGGCTTGGTTTTTGATTTAAGCTTAGATCTGATTGAATCAAGAGTATTTTTTCTTGTCGATGTTTTTAAGAGTCTGGACTCTAGATCCAATGTGTTTTTTTTTTCCAGTGCTCGACGTTTTCAGCTAGGATATATTTTTTATATTCTTCCGGAAAATCCGGCGACTCCGCGGAGTGGGCACCGCGCGTCGGGTCCTCTCATTCGGGAGCCCATAAATAATAATCAAATTTCCGAAATAAAAGTGAGGTCCGCGGCGAAAAATGAGGCGGATTCGGGAATAATGAGCGCGCTTCCGCTTTCATTATGACGCGCGCTTACACGCGCGGTCGCGTCGCGGTTCGCAATTCAATTCGAAACTGAGTCTCAATTCTCGATTCATCGTTTGACTGGAAAGAGAGCGTAACTTCGATTTCGTGCGAACCTCCGATTGCAAAGAAGTACACGTAGCAGGACTTATCTCAGAGTAAAGTTATGTTCTTTTGTATCAAATTCGGTTCTCCAAGTCAGAGACAGCCATTTCCGAGCAAGGAGTGCAAAATTCGGGAACCTTTCACGGATGGTTATCACTGGATCTGTGAATTCGGCAATGACACAGCTCTGTTTTTAATTCGACTTCATTTTGAAATGAGGTAAAACGATTTCTGGCTTTTGAAAGCACTTATCTACATGGGGACTCAATGAATGAATTGTTCCTAAGAGAGGTCACAAATATTACTTTTCATTGCGAACTCTATCCTCTTTAACGCTGCATGAAATAAACTACTTAAAAAGCCCCGAGTAGGGTTTTAACGATCGGAATTTGCGCATTTTAAAGAGTATGGAGGCTATCGCATGATTATACTATACCCGTGCTAAAGTTGAACACCGTGTGAACAAACAAAATTAAGCAAAAAGACATATACTTATAATTAGCTTATAAAGACATTTTAAAAATGTCTCTAAGTGTATCTATTGTACAAAATTGTTTTCTGTACAAATAATAATAAAAAAAAACCGTGAGAACATTTGGACAGTTATTTTCGTAAAATTTGAATTTCCTGAATTACTCAGGGGTAATTTTTGTGATGTTTTCAAAGAAAACGTTTTGAATCGTCGTCCAGTGAATGTGTGCAAGTCCGAATGCCCGGTCAAAATGAGTATAATTTTCTGACGATTGAAAATGTTTCATTCTGGAAACGTTGGCGAAATTAAAGTGATTAGACGGTGTTTCCCCGTAGCACGCCATTGTACTAATCAGTACAAGAATTTCAGTATCGACAAAATCCTCCGCAATACTGATTATTTTGAATGGTTGCATGTTAGTAATCATGTGCTACCACGTACTCTTAGAAATTCTGAAAGCGCAAGGAAGGGTTTCTTTCCTTGCGAACACAACTGCCCGCCACCACCCCCTGTAGCAAGAAAATTGACCCTTTTGGCTTATCATTTCGAATAATGATCCTGTCTAAAAAAAATTTTGATTACTAAGAGCTTGCTGTGGACTTTATGGGAGTGAGAATAATTGTGTTGAATTACTTCCAACCCAATTGAGGACACCTTAGTAGAAAGTTCTTTGAATTAGAAAAAATGAATTTATCCAGTGAATGAGAGAATGTTTTCAAAGGGAACATGGATATTTGGGAAATTCTTAAAATTTCAAAACAAAATTCCACCAAATACGTTTTAAACTCATGGTTGTTACGTCGACAGGAATTTTATGCAGACAACAGGCCGGACTTGAA